TTACATGAAGCAGAATGTGGTATCACGTTTGGAGGAAGGCTTATTAACCACCTGCAGTATGTAGATTACACAAAGCTAGCTTTGCTGAAAGTGAGGAGGACTTGAAGCAACTGCTGATGAAGAGAAGTGTTGTAGCCTTAAGGGCAGATTACAATCAATGTAAAGAAGACCAAAGTACTCACAACTGGACCAATAAGTAACATGACGATCAATGGCGAAAAGGTTGAAGTTGCTCAGGCTTGTGCCCGGCTTGGATCCACAGTCAATGCTCATGGAAGCAGCAGCTGAGAGATCAAGGATGTTGCTTGGAGGACTAAAGTCTGCCTGACCCAAGCCATAGTGTTCCCCACTTCATCATATTCATACGAAAGCTGGCTAGTGAATAAGAAGACTGGAAAAGAATGCTGCATTTGAATTGTGGTGCTGGAGCAGCATACTAGAAGGTCCCTGGACTGCTGAGAGGACAAACCAATCGGTCTTGGAAGAAGTTGTCAGAGTGCTCCCTAGAGGCAAGGAGGGGAAGACGACGTCTTCCATGCTTTGGACCTACTGTCAGGAGAGACCAGTGCTCGGAGAAGGAAGTCATGTTTGACAAAGTGGAAGAGGAGCGAAAAGAGGAAGGCCCTCAGCAAGATGGACTGAGAGTGGCTCCGTCAATAAGCTCAGGCACAGGAACCAGCATGGCGATGCCACAGCATCAGGGAGTGTCTTGGTATACTGTGCTAAGGGTCGTTCTAGATTGTAGTCGACTTGATGGTACCTAACAACCACAGTGACCTTCTCATTGGACGCTCTCTTTCTTTAGAGGGCAACGTTCTGTCATTGCAGTGAACCCTAAAGGGTGGGGCGCCCCCTTCCACAGAGAGTTCATATAAACAATCTAAACTATAAAGAAGAAATCATCTCCGGGAACCCAAGAGGCAAGCGAATTTTGGGAATGATGAGGGCAACAAATGTATAGATGTGCTCTACACAATTTATCTATGTATTGTGATGAATTTTATGAGCCCCAATACATTGATTTAAAAAAAAAAAAAAGAAGAAGAAATCATCCTGATTTATAAGCACTGGCTCATAAACACTGAGAGTTTTCCTAGTCTGTGTGTGAAGTGTTGGGATGGTAACAACACATTCAGTGGTTCAAACCTACCTGCCGCACCATGGGAGAAAGATGAGGCTGTCTGTTCCCATAAACACTCACAGTCTCAGAAGCCCAAGGAGGAAATTAGACTCTAATTCTAGGATTGCTATGAGTCAAAATCAACGTGGTGGCAGTGAGTGGGTAGGGAGGTCAACAATCATTTCATCAATCTGTGAGAATTATCTTTTAAAAATATACCATAGCACACGCTTGTTGTTGCTGTCCCAACTCACGGTGGGCCCGTGTGCAGAGAACTGCTCCGCGGGTTTTCAAGGTTAGGAGCTTTGGGCTGCAGATCATAGGTCTGTCTTCTGAGACACCTCAGGGGATGTTCAACCCACCCCTCTCTTGGCTAACATTCAAGCACTGAAAGATCTGTATCCCCAGAGACCCCCATCAAGAAAACTGGTCCATAAGCTACATCACCTGGAAGGTACCAATGTCAATTCACGAAGAAAAAAAGTTGCTTCTGCATGACCGCTAGTCTGAAAAAAAGGCTGATTCTTCTTAATAAATACGATAGTTCATTTTTTCTACTAATGAGCATCTAAGAACAATAAATATGACTGTGCAATCTACACATGTTGCTTTGAATGAGAAAAACCATCTGGTAGAGGCATTTAATTAGAAGGCCATTTGTGTCATGTAACCATTGTCTTTGAATTCACTTCTACCCTGTGGTACTTTGATGTTGGACATTTAGAGGCATCCTTTCTACCTTTTCCATTCTCACAATTCCCCTATATCTCCCCGGCATGAACCCCACCTACTCACAGGTTTTAGGGGAGTGGAAGTCCATTACGCTAGTGGCATCTCATTTGGTGCCTCACTTTTTAAAAGCATTTATTCCAGAAGGTTTGTCTAAAGGCGTAATGACAACAAAAGCAGCAGCTTGGAGAGATTTTCCCAGGAGAAGAAAAAGGACAGATGTACAGAGACAGAGAGCTGAAAGTGCCGCCAGCAACAGCTGGGGAAGTGGCAGCCTCTGAAGTGGTTGACCAAGCCCAGAGCGCAGACACCAACCTGGCGTAACGGCACTACTACTTGGTTTATGTTTGACTTCCTCGGGCACCTTTCATCTGCAAACAGGAACGCTCACCTTGGCTTCTATCAAATGAAAAGCCTTCCATAGGTATGCTTCTTAAAAATCTCTTAATCATTCCTTACATTTCACTCTCTTTCAACGTCCTTGAAACACAAGCTAACAGAAAGCAACCCTTCAAAACGGATTTTAAGGTCAAAAGTATGTTATTGTGGTAAAACATATATCATGTGAATTTGCCCTTTTAATAGCTCTAAACATACAACTCAGCATGCTTAAAAGACACTCACCCTAATCGTACTCCTAGGGTTTTGCCACCATCATCGCTATTTGCTTGCACAATGTTTTCATTACCCGTAACAGAGACTCAGAACTTATTTCTCATTCCACCCGGGCTCTGGTAAAAGCTAACCCCCTTTAGTCTCTGTATATTTGTCTATTCTAGATGCTTCCTATAAGTAGGAATGGGGTATCTTTCTAAGAAGTACAAGCTGATCATTACGTTGGTTAGGCTATAATGCTAAGACAACAAATAACATTAGATGAACCCAGAGGAAGTTCTGCATGGTGGTAGCATGAAGGCTCCTTTGTATGTTCTTTCTTGAGCAGACTCACCTTGTCATCTTCATCCTCCTCTTCATCTATGTCTGTGCTTTCCTGAAAGGAAAACCCGAGGTTTGTAAATAAAACATTGACTGCAACTTCCAAATGCAAATTAAATTCACTCAAACCCTTAAAGATTTTCTCCACCATTTAAGACAACGTACTTCTAAAATTCATTAAAACCTCTTGAAAAATAAGACTTTTAAGTTCGGGGACACTGTGGCATGACTATAAACAATATGCATAATCTACATAAAAGTGTTAACTATAAATAAAGCTATTAGGCAAGTGCCCTTGAAGGCACCCTGCTTTCAAAAGGCGTTGCTGAGTTATACTTTCTGTAAACAGTTTTATTCTGCCTCTGACAAATGAACCAACTGCTTTGCTAGGGTGGGCATGCCCTACTCTGTTTGTGCTAGGCTCCTTGTGATAATGGCTGCGCCCTCCCTTTGGGGCCACTTCTGAAACACGAGACAGCAGAAAATGCAGTCGTCTGACTGCAATCAAGCTCAAGAGTAAGATGCAGGTTTCTATACAGGGCGGCTGCTCTTTTTCTTGAGCTGCTGGAAACCGTGCGGGAGGCAGGTGATGAAGAAAATCCAAGGCTCTGATCTGAACTCAAGGTGTCTGACTTTCATTCGGGTACTGGGGACCGGCTGTGCTACTAATAGGTTTGCTTGGATTCGCTTAGCAATCTTGGCTATTTAATAGGCAACTTTTAAAGATATCACTGCAATGTTTCCAACGTCACATGTGCTGACACCAGATCAAATGCGTTCAGTAGCTCAGAAAGCATGCTGGGATTAGAGGACTAGCGGCTTGTCTGCAGCTGCAGCGCTTACTTTCCGGTTAACTGTTCACATGCCATTGTTCAAACACCAAAAAGAACTGTCAGTAGCATGTGACCAAAAGGGGAGTAAATCAGAAGTATCTAGAGAATATTTTGTTGTACTCTATAACACCATGGAGCAGTTATTAGGGAACTTCTCCCGGACTGGTAGAACCTTACCTCCCCAAATTCTCATGACCCCCAACTAGCAGTTTCTTTGACACTCATTGATCCTCTAATGAACAAATCTATTCGCCAATGGCAATAAGCATGTTTCCTGAAAGCACATGAGGTTCTTAGACATGACTAAGACCCTTTGGCCTAGGAATGGTAGAAACCCCAGCTGAAATGATTCATTTTACCACTCAAAATGCAAAAAGGCCACATTTTGCCATTTAGTTTTAAAAACGTCAATGTTCTCAGGTCTCGAGTGAACAAACCTCAATTCACATTGGAGAAACAGATCCATCCACAATGAGGACACTTCTTTATGTATTCTGGCTAGCAATCAAGAACATAGTTTTAATAGTCTGTTGAATATCTAAATCTATTTAGCTCATTTTACCTAAGAACAGTTTGCTTTAAGATAGTCAACAGCGAGAAGAAAAAAAAAAATAGTCAACTGGGTACACAGAACTGAATAGTCCTACAGAGACTCAGTGCAGGAGAAAATCGAGCCATCAACAAGAACTTTCCTTCAAGACTAAATTCTAGATATTATGCAGTGGGTTTTTTTTTGGGGGGGCAGGGGGTGTTTGGTGGTGGTGGTGTGGACATAAGTTCTTCAAAGTCTTCCAGGGGTCATCACACTTCAGAAGTTCTATACTCAATATTCGACATCTTTGTATTGATCTATCCATAAGACAGCCATCGGTATGAAAACTTAATTCTGAGCACCTGATTTGTAGAAAGCTATGGATGACAGTGCAAAGCCAAAACCCAAGTACAGAGTATCCACACAGACTAAGTCATCACTGAATTCCCGAGTCTACTGCCTAAGGGCATGAACAGTCCTACACTCCACACAGAGTGCACCAGAATGTGGATGACTGCACAGATACTTACGGTAAAATGTAACATATTTCCACTTAACCCATTTTTGACTTGTTTTCCCTTTTATTACACTCTACTCTTTTGGGGGTGGAGGTTCTTCTGTGTTTTATTCCAGCCTAGTTGCTTTTTGTATTGTAGTTGATTGATTGTTTCTTTACTGGAATGATTTTCTCTATATGAAACTTAGGATAGGTGAATATATAGAGATCAAGAATTTCCTCGGGCTATGACAAGGGAGGTTGGGGAAACAGGGAAAAATAATGAATACAAGAATGAAGAAAATATTCTAAAATTGATTAGGGTGATGAATGCACACATCTTTAATATCCTTAAACATTGAATTTGTGATATTGTTATCGCATGTCAATAAAACTGCTTAAAAAAAGACAGAAGTCATTCTGGGTTAACATTATTGCTTCCCATGCAGGAGATTAAGTTTCAAGTCCTGCAGGAGACTAAGTTTCCATGCAGGAGACTGAGTTTCAAGTCCTGTCACTGCACTTCATGCACAGTCACTACCTGTCTGTCAGGGAAAACTTGGGTGTGGCAGCGGTGCTGAACAGGTTGGCTATTTCAGTGGAATAGCCAAACTGAGAAAAACTAGGAAGAAGGCTCTGCCGATCTGCTTCTGCAGATCCGTTTGTGAAAAGCTACAGTCCACAACCAGCGTGCAGATGAGGAGATTGCTACAGAAAGGCTCAAGCAATGCTTCCGTTCCCTGAGGCTGTGGGTGCCCTGAGGAGTCAATGACATCTCAATATAACAGAAACAACAGCATGCTGTATGTGTTGACCGTGGCAAATCAGCAGTTATCTTGTTTTAAGCAAGACACACAGGAATGCAGCGGTCAGCATGCTGTTCTCAGAACCCTCCAGCCTACACGTCATTTTCAGGGGCCGCTGACAGTGGCTCTGATAGACCATATGTATGTCTTCCCGGACCCGGACATACTCCAATTCAGGAAAACTGGCAGCTAAAGGGACAAGCTCCCTTTTTAATAATATTACCGAAGTCACAGGTATTCCTTAACAGGTGTGAAACACTAACAAACAAAAACATCTGAGTTGCCTGGAGTCAATTTTGATGGATGGGCCGTTCTAAATGATGGTTTTGATGTGATAGAAGATTTTACCCTGTGCAGAAAATCTGTTGTTCATCTCCTTGGAAGGTAATAATCCCTAACTCGTGTATCTGGTATATGTCTTGCTTATGCACAGTGAGAAAAGGCAAAGGGTGTGGACTGTGCTGTACAACATGGTGGATAATAATTCCTAAACATTTCATACAATGAAATAAAAGTAGAAACTACACTCATTAAATTATGCTTGATAAATTTTGGTTGAGAGTTACTAGAAAAATTGGAAGGTGTGAAATATTTCAGAATCAACTGGGACATACGTAATATAGCGTGAAAAGGGAATTTAAAAACGAATAGGATGTAACATCATAAACCCAAACCAAACCAAGCTCACTGCCATCAAGTCAGTGCTGACTCATAGCGACTCCCTGTGGGTTTCAGACACTGTAACTCTTTCCAGGAATAGAACACCCAGTTTTTCTCCTGAGGAGCTGTTGGTGGTTTCGAACTGTCCGCCATACAGGTCAAAGCCCAGTGCGTAACCACTACACCACCACGGCTCCGCCATATCACAGGGAGTGAACCCTAATTTGCACGGCAGATTTTGGTCCATAATAATGTGCCACTGTGGGTTCACCACCAGTGACTGATGTACTACACAGCAACTACTTGTCAGCCGGTGACACTGTACACATGACAAGGGGGGAGCAGGGCAGGTATAGGAAGGTGAGTCAGAAACATGTTTCTGCGATCAGTGACTAGGTATAGCAAGTTGTGTTAGTAATATGCCTAGCTCAGTTCTGGTCTTCAAAACAAAGGTCCGATAAAAAGAGTGTCCCTCAGTGGTATCTGCTGGGCTAGTTAACCTCAGAGCAGCTATCAGTTCTGAAGATTTTATTGACTGTTTTTGGGATCCTCAAGGGTTAAAAGGGTTAAAAAGACAGCAGTCATACTGGGTTAAAATTACTGCTCTTAACACATTTTTCTCAGAGGACAAGGACAATAACAGAAACTTATGATGAAGAAGTTAAAAAAAATTTAAAAACTACCCTGGTAAGAAAAGAGTCAAGAAAGTTGATCTGAGGAGGGTTTTATTCCATGATGGTGATGTACCCGCTAGTTCTTCAAGGGTTGTACCCCATTTAGTCCATATTCCTGATCCTTCTGATTCAGACATTTTTTTGTTCTCCAAACTCAAAGAACATTGCAGAGGAGCCTGATTTGGGTCCCTGGAGGACACCTGAACTGCCATTTGACACAGTGTCAATCAAAGAGTGCAGAACCATTCCAGGAAGGGTTCGAGAGAGGGAACGACTGTCTTCATCTATACACCTAGAGCAGCGGTTCTCAACCGGTGGGTCACGACCCCTTTGGGGGTAGAACGGCCCTTTCACAGGGGTTTCCCAATTCATAACAGTAGCAAAATGGCAGTTACAATGCAGCAATTAAAATAATTTTATGGTTGGGGGGTCGCCACACATGAGGAACTGTATTAATGGCTGGTGACATTAAGAAGGTTGAGAACCACTGACCTAGAGGGAAATTATGTTAATAGCTCCACAATTTGATATTTTTGTTTAATAACAGTTTCTATGATTTTGTAGCAACTATTTTTTTTTTACTTACACTAGTCTGAGAACTGTTGGTGATTTTTGCACCACTTTTCTGTACACCCAAAACTGCTCTAAGAAAAATCAGTCTATTTTTAAAAGTGAAAAAGAAACCTGCACTTATGGTGTGTATTGATTTGAATTACCAGTCCCAATTATAGCTTATATTTAATATCAAAGGCTTTTTGGTTGAAAGATTATTCATAAATGTTGGCCACCCTGATCTGGGGGGGGGGGCGGTGATGGAAAGAGGCCAGTGGATCAGAGATGTGCAGTTTCCAGTGGATAGAAAGTCTTAGCTGGAGATCTGGCACTCAGCAAGCCTCCACCTCTATAAGGGAACGGAAATGAGGATTGACTAATGACTGAAACAGAGCGCAGGAGCCACAGCAATTCTATGCTCCCATCACCGAAGGAAGTCTCCAGATGACCACGGGGAAACGGATCCATGAGTCAGCTCTCCAATAAAATGAGCTTGGGGTAGGATTTAGTTGGTGCTGTCCTTACTGCCCCTCACACGTTGTCCTGCATCGCATGTTCTACCCAATCAGAATCCCGGCTCACCTGGCTGTCCTGGATGCTGCCGATTTTCCCTTTCGCTGGGCTGATGTAATTGTACACAAAGAGCAGCAGCAGTGCCAGGGGGACCATGTACAGTTCAAAATTCCAGACAGTGACCAGGAACACCTGGTTGGGAGACAAATAAAAGCGTGTGAGGAGGAGAGGAACACTGCGAGTCTACTTCTTTGATTAAAGAGATCACCCAAGATGATCTGTAGAGTGCTTAGAAAACTTCACCCTGGATCCAGAGAGCAGGGCCAATCCCCGGAGTTCTGGAGGGCAGGGCCGTTGCGAGGATGGTCTCAGAGAACAGAGGGTTCTTTGCCAACCTTGGAAGATAAAGTAAAATTTTCTGCGGGTTTTTAACAATTGATTAGCCCAATTATCCCTTCTTTCTCTCCAACTGGAAACCTGTGTCCCCAGTAGGTTTCGAAGTGCATGCACTTACACACACAGAGAAAGTGAGAGATGAATACAATTACAGAGCTGGTAGCAGAGAAGTCAGGCATCCAGTGGCATGGTCACATTCTGAGCCACAGAGCTACAGTACCCTCAGACCCGGGAAGCTATTCACTCCTGGCCAATTTTTCTCCTGAATTTAGTGTTTTAGAATATAAGTAAAGCATTATGAAAAACACCAAGGTCCACAAGAAGGAGGTCACCTGCAAGAATTTTCCAGGTGGTGAGATTGATTTGACCTGGACAGGGCATCTTTTGAAAACTTATTGCCTACAAATTCTCTTTCAAAAGTTTAATATTTTTGAGTGTGAAACTACACGGCCATATGCAAATAGTCAGGTCAAAAAGCCTATATGAGACCAGGTACGTGCTGAGCTGTCGGCGTCTGCTGCGTGCTCCTGCAGGAGGGAGACAGCAAGTTTGGAGTACTCTCCAGGACCTGTACTGTGGTGTTGCTAAGGAGTTCAACGTGAAAAGACACACACCCTGCTTCCAAGAAACACACCAATTAGTAGGAGAAATAAGAAAAGCACACATATTAATTGGGTTTCCATCATTCACTTCTGCCTCGGGAGTGAAATCTTGAGCAAATTACTTCAAAACCTGAGCCTCGGTTTCTTTCTGAACTCAGAAGTAGTCTAGAAGATGAAATAATTTGTAGTTATCAGCTGTCAGTTCCTACATGCTCAAAAAAGCCATTCTTGTGCACATCATCATAGAAGAGGCAAATGAAAGCATCCTGAAAATGAAATCTTCTCCCAAAGCAATTTCAACTCTAACAGTTCTCCCTAAAATTACAAAAATATATATTTGCTAGATAGTATCTATTTCTTGCTTATCTGGGGGTTGCCATTCTACATGGAGTCCCAGGGAACACACAAGGAGTTAAGCCCTTGCTTACAATCCTAAGGTGGTCAGTTCAGTTGGAGTCCACTCAGAGAAGCCTGGCGATCTGCTTTGGGAAGGTCACAGTCCTGGAAACTCAATGGAGCCATTCTGCTCTGCACACATCCTGGGGCCCTTGAGTCAGACTCACCTGACAAGCAGCAGTGAGGGCAACAGTAACAATGGTAAATTGAGTCATTGTGTCTACTGTAGGAGAGGGCATCAAAATATTCAAGAAAAAAATTCATTATCCTTTCATTCCACTTTCCTATGGGCTTTCTGAAGTCTCCCTGTGTGTGTGTGTGTGTAATATCCCCAAATTGGTCGTTGTTTGCATATGAAAGGTAATAATTTTGTAAATTAATATTTTTAATTAGCAACCTTATTGAATTTTCTTGTTTCATAGAGCTTTTCATTTCATTCTTTGGGGGTTTCTAAAATATGGTCATACAATCTGCAAATAAGTAGCCTCTCTAGCCTCCTCTTTTCTAATATTGATTCTTCAAATTTTTCTTGTACAATTTCATTGCCTACTACTATCAAGCCCGTGTTAAATAAACTGGTGGTTTGGAAACCCTTGTCTAATGTTCAAGTTTAATACAAATGCTTCCAGCGACCGTGATCCATTGCTCTGCCATTCAGTATGAGGTTGGCTTTCGTCTGTGCTCTCTGAGTCGTGGGGCTTTAAGAACATACATAAAACATATCCCATTGCATAGAACCACTTTTGCCCCTTAAACTAGAAAGTTCACATTCCCTTTATTATTATTTATATTACTGAAATATATTTTTCAATGCTTTTTGGTATCTGCTCCAAAATAAACATGTGTTCGGACAATATTATTCCCATAACCTTAAATAGGTTCATTTAACTATTACCCCCATTGGAAGCTCTCCTCATTCCTATTTCTCTATTACCCCCATTGGAAGCTCTCCTCATTCCTATTTCTCTTTCCATTAGGCAATCATGTCTTGAACTTGGTATGAATCCTTCCTACTTGAATACACATTTGTTCTAGAAAATCACTAGGCAATACCAGAAATAATAACACCAAAATATTCATTTTCTTTCTGGAAATATTTAATGATCAGTATTATGTCTTGAAGATCTATGGATGGTGGATGTATATATCAAATATATACATTTTACTTGCTACATGGTTTAGGATGGTTACATCAAAAACATTGCTATAAACACAGAAAACCTTTATTAAAAATATCAAAATGTGAAGTCATTATTTCATATTATTCATCGATACATCACCTTGGAGAGAATAGACATTCCAATACTGATCTTCTGAATCATAAAAAGTATACATAAAACAGGAGTCCTGAAGGTGTAGTGGGCTAAGCCTTGGCAGGGGTTCAAACCTACAACTGTTCCGCAGGAGAGGCATGAGGCTGGCCCCTCCTGTGACGATTTACAGTCTTCGACACCTGATGTAGCCACTCAGTAGTCCAAATGGACTTGATGAAAAATGGTTTGGTGTGGGTGGGTTACACATGCAGGACTTCTTATATATATTTCAAAATAGTCCGGTACTTTACTGCAATTATTTTACATATCTTTCATTACTTTTATTCCTAAACAATTTACAATGGAACCATTTTTTAAAGAATTATATATTTTAATTAGTTACTGCTGGGTGTAAAAGATACTAATTATTGTATGTTGTCTACATTCTTTCTAAGAGTTCTGATTAGTTGTTGGAAATTGTAACTCTTGTAGGTCTCATGGAGAAAGTCCTACAATCTGCAAATCATGACAGCTTTTCTGTTGCCTCCAATTCAAGTGTTAGTTACTGTTTCTTTTAATGTGAAATCTATGCAGACTCATTTTTTTATGAACAGGTAGTGAGTTTTTCAATCCTTTTGAATCAATTCTGAGGATCTTACTGAGGATTTCTATTAATCGATTAATTAATCATACTTTAAAAAATCCTTTATTTACTGTTTCATAATATATCTTTTCTATTAAATATCTGACTCCTTTTTAAACATTTTTAAAATAATGAACAAAAAAGAGACGAGAAAAAAATCAAATAATTTCTCCAGTCGATAAAGCTGGAGGTTTTTCTAAATGTTCTAGTTTCCTCTCCCTGTTGTTACAATTCCTTTTGGATGAAGTGTCTCAAAAGTATTCTAAATGGCTGCTGTTTTAAAATGTCTACTGGACACGTGGGATTTTATTGTCCCTGTAAAATGGAAAAAATAACAAAGGAGAAAGGGAGAATATCAAGGAAAAAAAATAGGAAATAATATATGTTTATTTTATTGTATTTACTCCAAACACTTTATAGAAAATTTATTTGCCTGTGCTAGGACCTCTTTATGATGATTGGTATGTCTGAGTCCAGTGTTGCAGCTGGGGTGTAAAGGGATCTCATTGAGGGTTCCTCGAACTTTCCTTGGCCCCTCTTGACTGTATTTCATAAACCGACACCCACCCAAGAATTCTAAGACCCTACGCATGCTGCACCATTTCTATCATCAAGACACCCCAAACAAAACAAAACAAACAAACAAGCCATCAATGATTAAGAGCTTGACTACTAACCCTAAAACTAGTGGCTAGAAACACCCCGTAGCTAGCTGGAAGGAAAAACAGAAACCCGGAAAACCTGCTCCCATAATGATGATAGCCCCAAATCCCAACAGAGCAGGGATACTCGGTCACACGGTGTAGCAGTTACAGACTAAACTGAACACAACAGCACCTAACAACAAGCACACTGCCCCACTTGCTTGCCTCAAGGTACAAAAGCATGCTCAGAATGTTGTGCTTCCTAACACACTCTTTCCTCATAACGAAAGCTCCTTCCTCAGCCGCTTAGGCATCGCCTCCTCTCTGGAAGCAGTCTCCTCTTTTCCCCTAGGACAGGACATTGCATCCTAACTCCACCCTTTGCGACTATGATACTTTATAAGCAAGTCCGTTATTGTTTTTATCTTATTTGGTAAACACTATGAGCCAGCATTGATTGTGGACACATTGTGTGAAAAACAAACAAAACCTGGCCCTCAGGGCTATGATTACATTGGATGTGGGGGTGTGCAGATCAGAGGTCAGATAGACCGCGGGATGGGGGTGGGGGAGCAGAAACATGAACCCTCTGTGTATGTCAGATGATCAAAACTGCCATAAATAAGCAGGGATGAAAGGAGGGCACGCCAGGTAGTGGGCTAGGCTCACCATGACTCTTAGAAATAAGATGACCAGGCTGTCGGCCAGCAAAGCTGGAGGACGTGTGGATATTTGGGCAAAGAGATTTTTCCATGGAGAGAAACAGCCAACACAAAGAATCGAAATGTGATTATACCTCCTGTGTTCAAGAAGTAGCCAGGACTCCCCATGGCAAAGCAGAATGAGCAAGATGCCAAGAAAGCGGTGAAGACAAGACTAGAGCTGATCCTTGAAAGTCAGGTCCTGGCTTCAAATCTAACTGTTGGACGGTTCTGAGCAGAAGAGCAATAGGATCTGACCCACCTTCTAGAAGGATCGCTGGCTGAATAATGAGAACATATCATAAGAAAAACAAAGGCAGAAGCTCCACTTTTACTTAAAAAGCAATTGCACTGATCCAGACTGGGGTGACCGATAGCTTAGAACCCATGGGATGCTGATGGAATTAATGAGGAGGGTTCCTATTTTTACTGTACTTAGAAATTAGAACCAGTGAGATAAAGAGGATTAAAAAGAAAGTCCTCAAAATTAACCCCAAAGGTTGGGGCTTGAAAAGCTCAAAGAATATTTATGGAGAATAGAAATTCTCCGGAAAGAA